CCCCTGGTAGTTTAGTCCCGGCCTAAGACCTCCTCTAGCCCCGGGTAGTTTAGTCCCGGCCTAAGACCTCCTCTAGCCCCTGGTAGTTTAGCCCCGGCCTAAGACCTCCTCTAGCCCCTGGTAGTTTAGTCCCGGCCTAAGACCTCCTCTAGCCCCGGGTAGTTTAGTCCCGGCCTAAGACCTCCTCTAGCCCCTGGTAGTTTAGTCCCGGCCTAAGACCTCCTCTAGCCCCTGGTAGTTTAGTCCTGTTATTGTGTTTTAAAGTCCAACAGGTGAAGCTCCTTCAGGGAACAAACGTCGAGTCATCCAGCAGCTAAAAAAAGAAAACGTCTTTCTTGGGCCGGCTGGCGTCTGCAGCCCCCAGATAACAGCTGGCTGTTTGTGTGTGTGCGTTTGTTTTACTACATTCGTGGCATCCAAAAACTGGGAGTCCCCTTTCCTTGTGGGGTCCAACCAGCTTTGTGGGGATCAAAATGCGCGACCCCACAAGTTTAAAGGGCAGTCTGAGGGTTGAGGCCTGGTTTTAGGTTTAGGGGTGAAGAAATGTCCCCACACAGATAGTAACACCAGGCTGTGTGTGTGTGTGTGGTTTAAGATTATGCGTCGGCCTTCGGGTGACGGCGGAGAGACAGGAAATGTGTGTCGAGGTCAGGACGTCACTTTGTTTAGGGGACATCAGGGCTCAGATTGTGCTGAAACATTGTTGACCTGATTGTGAACAATATATTAAATGTTAAATGCTGAAATGTACGAGTTCTTCCCCAGAAGATTCTGAACATTAAACAACTTAATTTCCTGCATTCTGGAGACATTTTCTGCACCAGTACATGGTGGAAATGTTTTTATTTATTTAAAAGGGGAAACTGTGAGAATTTGAAATATAACGCATTAATCAGCAGCTCGTTACTTTAGCTTAAGTTACATTTTCTGTACATTTGTTAACGTGCAAAGAAAATCTTCCTCAAAGTATTTTAACTTTATTTATTCAGCCCTGATCACATTCACACCTGGAAGCTGCCCAGCACAACCGCAGCCTGGTCGCTCAAGGGCACCTCAGAGATGAGCCACTGCTCGATCCTGCCGGTTTGGGGATTGAACCGTCGATCTCCCGGTCACAAGCACGCTTCTTTAACCTTTGGCCCACCGCCTCCCCAAGTAAATGACCCGTCAGGTCCAGGACTTCAGTGAAGTTGAGATAAACAGCTGCCGACAGATTGAGAGCGCAGGAAGCTGCGGCCCGGCGCGGACCCCCCCCCCCACTCTGAACACCGTGTAACTGAACGTCTTATCAGGCGGCTGCACGAGGCCGGCGGCCTGAACTCTGTGACACCGAACGCCCCGCCGCCATCAGAGGGCTGACTCGAGTAACCACGTTAATCAGAGTGCTGTCACACCTGCAGGAGAGCAGCAAACATCCTGCATCATCACTTTACTGATCTTCTCCTGCGTCACAGCGCTCAGCGCCAAATAACTGACCAGCAGCTTCCTCAGTCTGAAGAGCTGCAGCGATTAGCTGATTAGTCGTCATTTTTTTAAAGATAAATTCTCTGATTCCAGCTTCTTAAATCTGAAACATGAACTCAATACATTTAGCTTGTGGACAGAAAAACCCGTTTGAGGACGTCTTTCTGGGCTTTGGGACATTAATAGAGCAAATAACCAGCGCTGGACATTAAGTCCATTTACTCAAGTACTGAACTTAAGTACAAATTAGAGGTACTTGTACTTAACTTGAGTATTTTCTTTCCACCACATCTTTTTAATTTTTAATTATCTGACAGCTTCAGTTTACAAAGTCAGATTTTTACACACAACACATGAAGAGTTTATAAAATATGATGTTTAGTAGCGGTGGGGGAAAAAATAATAAGCATACTATCGCGATTATTTTCCGTGGCAATATTGTATCGATACACGGACGTCGAGTATCGACCTTTTATTATATAAACATGAGAATTTTACTTTTTGGTACTATAATAATAAAATCAGTTGCTTTGTCAAATAGAAAAGGAGTTTTCCTTTGGGGACATAATCTGAAGTTGGAAAAAAGGTAATAAATTGCAATATATCTCAATAATATCGTCTCATGACATAAGTAACTTGATAATAACGTATCGTGGGGCCTCTGGTGATTCCCACCACTAATGTTTAGTTATAAATTAAACTTCAACAGTTTATACAGGATTATCAGACTGACAACTTTGAAGGTTTAAGACATTTTTCATGTAAAAACTTTTTCTTTATTTGTAATAATGTTGGGCTTTGTACTGTTTGATGGACAAAAGAAAACATTGTGAAGGAGTCGCTTTGGCTCTGGGTAACTGTGACGGCATTCCTCACTATTTAAACTATTAATCGAGAGTGAAAATAATGGCTAGTTGCAGCCCTGGTCTAAAGTGAAAGACATTTGAGGACGTTTGGGAAACACTGATCCACATTTTATAGATCAAAACGCACGATTGATTAGCAGAAAATCACCGAAAGTTGCAGCCCTGCAGGCTTCGCTCACGCAGATCAACAGTGAAAGCAGATAAACACGTAGATGCTGCGTCTCTGCCACCAAGCAGCAGCCAATGAGCACATTTACAACATTTTACTGTCACAAACCAGCCGAGTTTCATATCAGACAGTAAGTAGTCCTTCTGTTAAAGCAGCTACAGGGAACTTTCATCTTGTGTTTCCAATTTTCAAATCGCAGGAGGTGAAATATTTAAAGGTTGTGTGTGTGAAAATATGATTTTAAATTAAATATGGTTGTGCTGCAGAGACGTCATGGCCTACATATCATATTCTAGAGACTTAAGAAATGATCGTTCTTTGGTACAGAGCTCCTCAAAAATCCCACCATTATTCATTTTAATGTGTTTTTCGCAAATCTTCTATCGCAATATTAGTAAAAATAATCGCAATCAGATATTTTTAAAGGCTGTAAGATTAATAAGTGTAAAAAGTGACGATGGTGAAACTACGGCTGGGCGATATGGTCAAATGTTATCACGATAAAAACATTTAGTATCGTTCGATATTGATAATATATCGATAGATGTCAAATCTTTATTTCTCTCGAGTTTAAAGGCTGATTTTTGCGCCTGACTGAAAATTGGCAAAAACAGATGGTTAATTATGTGGTTAAACTTTTCTTTATGATCAGAATGTGCACTTGATGCCAAACAGAGGATCACTTAACAAATGTGATCAGTAAATCTTTTTTCAGTCCCTTTTCCTCATCAAAATAAATACTTTAATAAAAAAATAAAGTGCTAATTTGTTTATGATCCAAGTCTTCTTCAACACAGCATGATGTTCATTTAGTAAATTATGGTTAGAGGAACAGAGACCAGGAAGCAGCGGCGGTCGCTACGATGGCGACCTGTCAATCAGGATAGAGGCGACTCGTATCCGCTGCTCTGTGTACATTTAACCAGCGCCGCTGAAAAACTGCTCATTTTTCAGTAAGTACATTTTGTTTTGAGCCCGTTTGCTGCTAGCCAAAATTAGCATCCCAGCTAATATCGCAGTTAACGTGAATTACAGATGCACCTTGCTAACCAAGCTAGCTAGCTCGTTCAAATATGGTCACGTCTGGTGTTAAAAAACAAACAAGATGGCGAGATCAAAAAGGCCAAACTGGAGGCTTTTAAAAAGGCGGTCCACTTTTAGCAGGGGCGGCTTCCCCAAACCAATATGGTGGCCGCGTTGATACATCGCTGTGATGCGTTCATGACCTATCAGGTGGGTTGGAAACAAACCAACAGCTCAGACAAAATGTATCTGACGGAAAAACTCTTCCAAAACATTTACACAGGTTTAACCCTTTCAGATGTGTCTGTATGAAGTTCTGAAAGAAGCTGAAGTGTTGCTGCTTTCACATTAAAAACGGCTGAAAGTCACACGTTTCACGTATAATAAAGTTCACATGTTGTTGTTGTGCAACTTTCGTGGTCCAAGAAACACGTAATTACTGTAATTTTAAAAAGGTCACCTAAGAATAATCAGGTCAGCTCCCCCGATTCAAGCCGAGCTCGTCCACCACACAAACATGATTATTAGTTTACAATATTTATTTACTACTTGAAAACCTAAAAAAACTCCAACAAATCAGAAACACAAAGGCGACAGAGTAATAATAATAAAAAAGAAATTAAAGAAATGATCCCAGTGTTCAATAAAACAGCATCAACCAACTAAACGGGTTCTATAACTCTTTTTAATCAGTTTAAGAAAATAAACTTAATTTTGATCATTTAGGGGTTAATAGTATTATGTTTACTGTAATATATATAAAAACTACAGTAGGCTATTTATATAATACATTCACTATTAACAGACAAAAGTCTGGTTCAGCTTTTACCGAATATGTACGGACAGTATTTTTAGTTTTTGGACACTGACTTATTATATTGTATTATATTATACAGGCAGAAACATTTAACTAAAACGTGGTGATCTCCTTAAGAAAGCACATGTGAATCCATTTAACATGTTTGTATTATCTAAACCTGCTTTAATAATCAATGAATCATCAAAAACACGTTACTTTAACTGTCAAACAACATTACACAATCATCATTTGTCAATCAAAAACTCAAAAAGTTATGTTCACAGACAATTAAAATCATTTTTACAAAATCCTCCTGACGTGTGTGGGTGAAATTAATTCCCTTGAGAACAACTGCTGCAACTAATCATTCATTTCTTTATCGACGAGGAGCCTAATTATTAATATCTGGATCGATCAAATCTCTCTTCTGTCTTCAAATATGTTGTTGTGTCTGACCAACAGAGCGAAGCAGAGAAAAGATTCACGTTTCAGAAAGTGGAAGCAGAGAAAGAAAAACACTCTGAAGGATTGATCGAGATGAACTTTGTGTTGATCGATGAAATTGACTGTTTTTCTGACATGTTATAGATTAAACCAAGAAGTCAGATTAAATATAAAGTCAGGCCTATCCTTCAGTGTAAAATCTGTCATATTTAAGCTTCTGTGGACTCGGACTCACCTGGACTCTCAGACAGGTGAAGGTGGATTTCAGCTGCTGTCAAGACTCAAACCGGGACTCTGTTTGTCTCCCGGATGGAGCAGCGGCCCTGCTGCACCTGCAGTCCGGCCTGAACCGACGGCACCTGCCCGCCTGCACACAAAGACAACCGGCTCATATCGCCGTTAATAACCGGCTTAGGGTAGAAGAAGGACCGGGTCTGCAGGCAGCAGCACGACGCGGGGCTGCGTTAAAGAGGTGAAAGCACATTATGGCTGCAGACAGACGGACGGACAGCTCGGTGTGTCCTCTGCGCACACGTTATATAACGCAGCACCCCCCCCCCTCCACCATAAACACCGTACGGAGGCTGGATGGATGCTGTCCGGGTCCGAGCCGCCGACAGGCCGCCGTGAGGCTGCAGCAGCGGCCTGTCCGCCGCTAATCATCCCGCTGAGGAGCTCAAACAAAGCCGTCTTATGACAAACCGCAGCATCAAGCCCCGTAATAAATAAGCCCAATTAGAATAAAGCCTGTACCTGACTCTCCGAAGCCGATCCTCCTCCTCTGAAGCCGGTGAATCAAGAAATTTCCCCGCAGATAACGGCCCCGTTAAATCCTCACAAATCCAGCGCCGCGTCCTGCCGCAGCGCCGCCATCCCAGAAACAACAAAAAGGGCTGATTCACGCCCGAAGAATTAGAGCCGCCGCCGCCGCAGGAGCGTGTCCCTCCGCCGGCCGCTGAGTCCTCTGAGAGCCGCTGCTGCTCCGCCGGGTGTGGGTGTTAAAATGGAGGCGGTCTCTCTCCGGGAATAGACACAGAGCGGAGCCGCTGCTGGGAGGAGAAGGAGGAGGAGAGCCGCCGACAGGGGGCGCCACACCGGAACCTTCACAATAAGAGCCCGGCCAGTGTTTTATTTTGACGTTTTCGTTGTTTTTCTATGTTGTTTAATTTAAATGAAATGTTTTACAAAAATAAATAATAATAATTATTTATTTCCAAGTACAATAAGAAGAAAAGTATATTGTTAAAAAATACAGTAAAAGACCCTTCTGTCAGTTTTTTTGTTCATTGTTTATATTCTTTAAAAAAATCTCTGAACTTGTATAAAATCACATTAATTGTGGTAAAAATATTTAAACATATAATATTTTTCTTTGTATTCACAGAAAAGTTCAAATAAAATATGACAATGATAAATAATATGATGGAAATAAAGTATAATAAAATATCATAATTAAAACACAATCTTTTAAAAAGTAATAAAATTCATGTTTTCACTTGTTAAACCTCCAAAACCCACATACCCTGTATATATTTAGCTGGCTTCAATGCTTCCTGTGGTGGTACTGGTTCCCATTTGGCCCCCATGTTCCCACTTGTTTTTTCTGTGATGATGAAGCATCCATCCATCTATTCTTTCACTGTAAAATAACAACAAAACATTAGTCTGTTAATAATTCTCACGTTTTCAAAATGTTCCTCACTCTGAGATATAATCAGTTATTATGACAATACAAGTTACAAATCTCTAAACTACCTTATTTTTAATTTTTTGGTTTGATTTTAAGATTCCCTTCTTTTCTGAACTCTCTTTCTGTTACAAACAATAAAAACCTTTCTGTCCTCATTTAGTTTAAAAAGGCTATTATTTATTTTCAGCTCATCTTTCAAACATTTATTTTATTTATTTTCGGCCTCTCTGATCAGATCAATAAAAGTGACAGTTCACGTGTGATCTGAGAGGCTGATCCTGATTGGTTCAGGTACCACATGACCTCTGACAGTTTTAATAACATTTGGAAAATGGAACATTTTAATTTTTTTATTGACTTTATTGACAACGTCATCATATACATAGAACACAAAAGGACAAACAACATTTCATTGTCCAGGGGTACAAAAATCATTTAAAACTCATTAAGGCTTCCTGATGAGAAAGTCCAGGTTAAGGAAGCAACTTGATTCTGGAGTTCCAGCATCAAGTGTTGAATACAGTTAAACACGGTCCTTTGAGCTTGACCTGTTTTTGAATATTTTATGGAGTCCATATGTATCTAGTTCAGTCATAAAGACAAGGAAGAATAACAGATTTGTTATGAAACACTGAAGAAAACATCCTTAAAACTAAACGAAATATTTGGAAAGAGCCTGAATGAACTCCAACATGTCTGACCAGAATTTCTCAGCGTGACAACAGTTCAGAATAAATGGGACACATTTTCCTCTGCAGCTTCACAGAATGAACAGTTTCAATATTCAGTTTATAATATTTACCGGGTAGAACCGGGGAATCAATTTAAACGAAACTTTTCTCACTTTATAAAGCAAATGTTTGAAGGCTAAAGACGAACTTCATCCCACTCTGTTCCACTATTCTAATGAGAAACCACGTAAGGCACAGTCACAATGTCTCTCTGCAAGAAACCTCTACTTAGTTTATTATTTACCTGTCGCTTTTCATTTGCCTTGGTTCCACTGCGGGGATGTTTGAATTCCTTATAAAACTTAGCCGGCTTGTCCCTCACAGCTACTAATAGGTCTGCCTGTTTATTAGTTAAGTTTTACTAACTATTGATATCAGATACAGTTTCAGATTTTGTGTTAGAGCCGAAACCCTTTTCAGAAAAGATAAAGTTACAGACAGAAATCATTTGTTGTTGTCAGTGCTGTCAAATGTGGAAGGAAAGGTTCAGATCTCTGCAGCCCGTGTCCCGGTCTACAGTGAAGACCCTGTTATCTGGCTGTCAGCATGGTGGTCCAGCCTGCAGCCTGGTTTAGGCCTCCTCTGCCCCCCCTGCGGGATCTACATAGGGAAGAATGGCTTCCAAACTGTAAAACATTTAAAGCTTCAGGATGTGTTGAAGTACTGACTGCTCTGTCAACAGTAAACACAGCTCGTCATTCAAAAAGAAATGACAGCTTGAGTGAATTTACTTGATTGAAAGCAGCTTGTTCTGAACGTGCTGAGGATCAGATTCTATGAGCTCCGAGAAAATCGCTGTGTTCAATCGTCCCGGTGTTTTCCGCCGAGTTCTGCCTGCTGCTTTTAAACGCTGTAATATTCATCAATGGTGATAAATGATTCGAAGTATATATTTTATAAACCTCTTTAATAGTTTATAAAAACTTTAATAGTTTAAGACACTCAGTAGAAGCACCGTTCTTTGACATTCAGTAAATATATGTGGTGATAACGCCGTTTGATCCATGAGCACAGCAAAGTGTCTGAGAAGGACCCAAAGAGGTGGACGCGTCAGATGTTGGAGGCTACGTGCCGAGATTTGCATCCACCTCTTCTGTCAGCATTAATGAGCGTGTGCACCGCGAGGCGCGTGCGTTTCTCGGCAGGCAGACTTCGTTACACCGTCTCTCCCAAACTCTTCCAGTGTGTCGGCTGATTACGCACGTTTACATCAGCGAGGCTCTGCAGGTCAGCTGTTCATTAGTCACGAGTAGTTTACTAATAGGCTATCTATTATTTAGACACCCCCCCCCCCCCCCCCCCCCGCCTCCTCTAACTCCTCCTCCCCTCCTCTCTCTCCTCCTCTCTCTCCTCCTCCCCTCCTCTCTCTCCTCCCCTCCTTCCTCCCCTCCTCCCACTTCTCTCACTTCTCTCCAGCTCTCCGCGTCTCCGGCTGCTGTTTGAACCCCAGGTAGGCCTACTTACTGTCCTTTCTCTTATATAAACTCCTGATCGGAACCAGTCGACGTGTGCAGGCTCGGTTCTGTGTGCGAACAGCAGCAGATTATTTTCAGATGTGCGTTAGTACTTGAACCTTAAGCGCAAGGCTCAGTCCGAGTTAAACCAAACCGAACCAACGTGAGGAGGATGCGGGTCTGCGCTCACAAAGGCAGCTGATTATTGGTCCCACAGTCTGCAAAACAAAGCCTCCAGGTTTCTACCTGGATTATGATCATCCTGGAGCTCCGTCAGGTTCAGGTTGGTCTGAGGTTAAACCAGTTCATTATGCAGGAAGAAGAAACTCCAAGTTTTGCAGGCCTGCCGAGAACTGCCTGCTTTTAAACTTAATAATATTGAAAATACTTTAAGAGTCGTTAATAATTTATTACACTTAGTAGAAGTCGCATTCCTTGAGATTCAGCAGAAATCTGCGGTGAAAACCGCGTTTGATCAGTGTGGAGAGCAAAGTGTCTGAAACGGCAGTGAAGTTTGTTTTAAGTTGGATACTCGACAGACCTTCACCCAGGATCCGGTCACGGCTTCTTACTCAGTTCACCCAGTGTTGGCAGTATAAGTGCGCTTGGCTCACCTCCGATGGCTCGCTTTTAACCACCGGGGTCAGTTTAGGGACCGTCAATAAATTACTATTGGACCAGTTGGAGTCTTTTTATGTAGGTTGAGTTGATACCAAGGAGTAGTGAGTTGCAATAGTCCAGCCGTGAAGAGATGAAGGCGTGAATGAGTCTTTCAGCAGCAGGATGAGAAAGCCAAACAGACAGGATGGATGTCAAGTTGAAAGGGGGAGTCATGTGCCACCCAGTTAAAAGACAGAAGCAGCTGTGGTGTGATTGTTGTTAAGGTAAACTGAGGGGATTTTATTTTGATCATTTCATTTTGTCTTAAAAACAATTTCACATGGAAGCTATTGAAAAAAAGAAAGCCCCCAAATTAAACTAGTAAAAAAGCCCTTTTCCATTAAATCTTAGTAAATATTAATATAAATTCAAATATGCACTCAAATCTAAAATGAAGAGGTGTGTCTCATTTTCACAGTATAGATCTCCAGTTCAGCGTTGGTTTGGTGTCCTTGGATCACATGACATGGAAGCTACTGAAATAAATGATGATTTTCCCATAACACTGTTTTGACAATAGTAATTTATTGACGGTCCCTAAACTGACCCCGGTGGTTAAAAGCGAGCCATCGGAGGTGAGCCAAGCGCACTTATACTGCCAACACTGGGTGAACTGAGTAAGAAGCTGTGACCGGATCCTGGATGAAGGTCTGTCGAGTATCCAACTTAAAACTAACTGTCACTGCCGTTTGTCACCAAAGGTCCCTAACAGGTGGATGCTTATGGGGTTCCTAATGTACAATTTCAGATGAAATTCTATAACTGATACATTTTGATTATTTAGCTCACTTTTCTCACATTTAAGACAGAAATTCATGATAAACAAGATCTTATATGCAATTGTCAACAATATGTTTATAAAGTAAAATAAATAGTTAAATGTTAAATGTAAATGTTAAATGTAAATGATAAATCTATATCCAAATGATAAATGTTAAATCTAAATGTTAAAATCTATATCTAAATGTTAAATCTAAATGTTAAATGTTAAATCTAAATGTTAAATGTTAAATCTAAATTTTAAATGTTAAATCTAAATGTTAAATGTTAAATGTAAATGTTAAATCTAAAATGATAAATCTATATCCAAATGATAAATCTATATCCAAATGTTAAATGTTAAATCTAAATGTTAAATGTTAAATCTAAATGTTAAATGTTAAATGTAAATGTTAAATCTAAAATGATAAATCTATATCCAAATGTTAAATCTATATCCAAATGTTAAATGTTAAATCTAAATGTTAAATGTTAAATCTCAATGTTAAATGTAAATGTTAAATCTAAAATGATAAATCTATATCCAAATGATAAATCTATATCCAAATGTTAAATGTTAAATCTAAATGTTAAATGTTAAATCTAAATGTTAAATCTAAATGTTAAATCTAAATGTTAAATGTAAATGTTAAATGTAAATGTTAAATCTAAAATGATAAATCTATATCCAAATGTAAATGTTAAATCTAAAATGATAAATCTATATCCAAATGATAAATCTATATCCAAATGTAAATGTTAAATCTAAAATGATAAATCTATATCCAAATGATAAATCTAAAATGTTAAATCTATATCCAAATGATAAATCTAAATGATAAATGTTAAATCTAAATGATAAATGTTAAATCTAAATGTTAAATGTTAAATCTAAATGTAAATGTTTAGAAAATATGCAAATTGACCACGCCCCCTATTGGGTTCTTGCCCACACCACTGACCTTCGATCAGTCATGAGATCCACATGTGAAACAAAGAGTAAATCAGAAAGATTAAGATGGTGTTGGCTGTTGCAAGTAGATTCTTGGACATGGTGGACATACTGTGAGAAGAGATAGAGACTATGGAAAAGATTTGCACCAACTCAGACACCCGAGTCTGAGTTAACGTTATAAAATGGAGAATGCTGAATGGGAATACTGTGGGAGGACACTGTTAATTCACCGCACTGAGAAACAGTTTAATCCAGAAGATGGTGGTAATGCAACATTTCTGAATGCCAACCACCATAACCCCCCTCCCCCAAAGAAGAAGAAGAAAAAGAAGAAGATGATGGTGATACTAGGAAAATGTCTAACGTTACTCCAGTACTAGGAGAGATTGAGCGGGCGGTTGCGGCAGGTGTGCGGGCTGCCCTCCACGGTGTAGTTCCACCGGTAACATTACCAGCCACACCATTAACGGTAAGTTTGGGTTTCATTTTAATTTCTTAATGCATGCTGGAGGGAGTTACTTTTAGCTAACGTACCTAGCCAGGTAACGTGGGAGTCAAATGCAAGCTAACGTTGAGGTTTTTGTGATGCACTTTCTGTAGCTATGATTCAGAGGTAAGTTAACCTTCAAAGTTACCCATAAAGCTGGATAGCAACAAAACTATCAAGTGTATGAAGCCTAGTCTATACTATTGTATTCTATGCTGTGGTTAACATTCCTGGAGAGCTAACGTTAGCTCGTTCGCTTGCTCACTAACGTTACATTAAGTTGAGGGGGCTTTGCCGCCATATCTGACACTATATGGACTCATGTTTCAGGCGACCACACCGCAGGATAACCTCAACCCACAGGCCCACATACACATCACTGAGAACAGTAAGTGAAGTTGTGATGTGTAGGAAGTTAACATTTAGGTTGTCCCAAGTTAAGTTCAGAAACGTTAACTCAAAAAAAAAAAAGAAACATCCATCCAGTTTATCCATCTGAAGTCATTCAGAAGGTGTGTTTCAGGAGAAGAGTTGTTCTGCTGTTGCCTGTCTTCTAATACGGCAAAAGAAGTTATTCTGTATTTTATGTCCTGTCTGTTTCGCCTTCTATCTTTTAGGATGGGCATACCTTCATTTCAAAAGAGGACATTGAGGGTTTGCTGCTACTTGGGACAACACTTTCTGAAGTAGCTTCAGTCCTGCAGATGTCCAGACAAGCTCATGCAGGAATACAACATAAGAGACACAAAATGTTGTAACATTTCTGATGAGGTATTGGATGCAACCATAAAAGAAGGACATCCTTATATAGGAGACGTTATGCTTGATGGACATTTGCGTGCCAGAAACATTGTGGTACAGAGACGTCGTGTCAGAGACTCTGTAAGAAGGGTTGATGGTGCCGGTATTGAGTCCAGGAGGACAACAACAATACGACGACGAGTATACACTGTTCCTTTTCCAAACTATATATGGCATATAGATGGCAATCACAAACTTATTAGATGGAAATTAGTTGTACATTGTGCAATGGATGGTTACAGTAGAATGTTAATGTTTCTCCAGTGTTCCAACAACAGTCGGGCTGAAACAGCTATGGACCTCTTCAGCACAGCCAGCAGCAAACATGGCCGGCCTCTTCACATCAGAACTGATCATGCAGGGGAAAATACCCGGATTTGGGAAGACATGAGAGTGCACAGAGGTGGAAGTTCTGTGTTTACTACCAGCGCATTGAACGATTCAATCAAGACTTGAACAGAAACTGCAGTGATGTGTTTGCGCACATTTTCTATGAGCTAGAATCAATGGTGGCCTTGGATGTAGAAAATGAAACGTATTTATTTTGTCTTCATTATGTGTACATTCCAAGGATCAATAGCACACTGGATGAGATTCAAGCTGCATTTAACAATCATTCACTTTGCTCTGAAGGGAACAGAATCCCTGTTACTTAACCATCCAGACGCTGCAACTGAAGAAAGAACAGTGGATTCAGCATCAACACCTCATGCACACGACTCCTTTTGCCCACTTAATGAGCAGCACTTACAAGAACTTGTTGTTGCAGTTAACCCTTTTGAAAATGATGGTAACAAGGGAAAAACATTGTATCACAGAGTACAGGAATTTGTATTGCACAAAATTGTAGTTGTGTAACTGTAACTCTTGTGCCCATACTAAAGAATATTAATGTAACATGAACACATTAGTGGTGTGCATTAAGTAAATAATACAAACGTGCACAGGTTTAGTAAATACTAGCTTAGTAAATACCACCAATGTAAATGTACCAATGTGCACAGGTTTAGTAAATACTGAACAGTTTCAACATGAAATGTCTTAACAGAAAACTAAAAACTAAATTCACATCAAACCTACCCGTTGGTGGTTCAATGTGTAGTGTACTCAATGGCTAATGAATTTACTCACTACCATGTTTATTTGGATTTTTTTATGTACTGCTCTGCAATCAGGTTTCTTCTGTAGACTACACTGTGCTAAAGATGGCTCCATTCATGAGAGCCACCAGAAAATGGTAATAAAATTCATCATCTGTGAGGTTCTTACTGTTGACAAAGATCTGAAGCTCATTTGAGCATGTGTGAGCAATGGGAAGGTGTTTTGTGTCATCA